TTTTTTTTTTTTTTTTTTTCTTTTGTTCTTTCCCAGTCCCGGTCCCAGCTGGGATCGCCACCGGAAAGGAAAAGTGGGAGGTTCTTGTTTCTTACACCAATTTTAGGTTTCTCCAACCGTAAACAAGTTTCTTAAGAAGGGGCTATTTATATAAATTGGAAACCATCCCCAATGGACGTTGCTACCCATAGAAATACCACATCTATAAATCTAATTGTAACAAAGAAAGAAAACTTGCCAAGAATAGAGATGAAGGCCTAGTTCCAGTAAGATGGCGACAAGGGTGGTCATAAAATGGCGAAGAAAGATTCTATAAAAACATACAAAAGAATAATTAAACAAGAAACAGATCATCTATCAGTTTAATCGGTTAAAAGATATAAAAGAACAGAAATATTTCCAGTTCAATTAGCAAAATGGCGACATGGGTAGTAATGAAATGGCAAAAGAAGATCAAAACTCACAAGAGAAAGGAAACAAAAACACCTAATCCATAAGTTTAATCGATAAAACATATAAAAGAACAGAAATCAAGCTTGATCAACTAGCAAGAACGTAAGAAATGAAGGCGAAAACTCACAAAAGAGAGGGAAAAGAAGACGAATACTTGGGAGTTGCTACGTGCCGCTATCGATTCAAAAAGAGACCACAGAGCACCACGCGGAGGTGTGTTGGAGTCAGAACTGTGTCATCAGATATATATATATATATATATATATATATATCTGTTGAAAGAAGCGGTGAGAAGAAGGAAATGCACTAGGAGAGGGAAGGAGCAAAGAATGTGTGCCCTAATTCGTTCCCACAATCCAATTGAGGGCATAAGCTTCGCGTGAGTGGCGGCGGTTATATCGGTTCGTCACGGTTCGGTTCGAGGCTGAACCATCCGAACCGAACCACTCGCGACTGAGATAGATCCGGCGGCGGCGGCGGCGGCGGCGAAAATAGGGAACGCGATGAGGCAGCAAAGAGCGGCGAAGAGGAGAAAGGCGGCAACAACGGGGAAGAGAGAGCAGAGAAGGACAGAGCTGAGACCTAGGAAGTTACCGTCAGGACACAGTAAAACTTTCCTCTTTTTTACTTCTTATTTCAATTCTTTTATCTTAGTTAAAAAAAAAATTTATATTATTGGAGATCGAAGATGAAATTTTTCACGGAGAATTTGTGGAGATTGATTGCCCGAGTAGATTCTATGGCGATCGTATATTTCCACTACCTATCCCGTCAGAGAACTGTGACAATCCGCTAAAAAGATACTTTTGAAAAAGAAATGTAATTTAAAATAGAAAAGCGTAAAATTAGAAGATATATGTCCTATTAACGACGTCATGTTGTTAAATCTAAGATGGGTTGAGTTGGGTTACCGAATTATTCTTTGAAAAAAAAAATAATGGTAGAAGAGATAAACAAGTTATGTCCCACCGCTAGCAAGCACTCCAGGACCTGCCAACGCTCATGTAAACTCGGGTCGGTCCTCCAATCATCCAACTAGAGAGGTAGATAACAAGGCCACCTTCACAACCTTCTCCCTTTTGTCCCTATGTTGTAGTAACGTAAGGCGATTCGCTTGAGTAGCTCAACTGCCCCTTAGCTCATGCTCATGACGCGCTACAGAACCTCCATCGTATCGGGGGATATTGTCCTCTTTAGGCGTTCATTTTCGAGTTTTTGCTCAAGGTTTTCACACCCTTATAAATAATGTTTCGTTCTCCTTTCCATTGTTCTCCTCACCAACTGACATACAATCTCACAATCTACCTTCTTTTGTAGCCCACAATCTACCTTCTTTTGTAGCCCAGCATCCTCATTGACACTCGTTCCCCTCTCCAATCGATATAGGATCTCACGAGTTAGAATGAATCATTCTAGTACCTCTTAAATTTTAAACGCTTACTTTTCTTTAAAATCAGGATCTAAACTCGTTGGAGATTCAAAGATACAGGTACCGAAAGCTCCACAATTATTCTCGCACAATAAGCTCTATACTTAACACAACTTTACTCTCTACCTTAACTTGATCACTCGATCATAATACTATCATTCTCAAAATGTCACAAAATCAAAACACCACACAAAATTCCCTTAAATACAAAGTAACTAAGAGGCCAGAAATTACACTACAAATTATTTACCTTCACTTCTAAGCCATAAATAAGCTAAAAAAAGAAATGTGATCTGAAGCACTTAACAGCAGCCCTTTGATCAAACATTGTGGGGAAAGATTGGACAAATCTTAACCAAACATTGTAGAACAAGAACAAGATCATATCATAAAGTGGAGGCAGCAACTCACCTCACCAGCCCTTTGATCAGAGCTTTTGTTCTTTCATACTTCGACCAAAAGGCCGCCATTGAAACCCACCTTCTGAATCCCATCTATTTTCAGCTACATGATTGGTGACAAATGGGGAACTCATTCTACCATTGCTTATGGTTCTTCTTATACTCTCTAAACTGCACAGAGCATAGCATGAATTTCCATATAATTTGTTGGAATACTCGAATGATCCAACTTCGGCCACAGCACGAACTTATCAGAGAGTTAGTTCATCAACTTTTGTGGTTTATGGCCTAATTATCGCCATTAGAAGCGAGAATATCCACATTAACTAACTGCAGCGTCGGATTCATTAGCTTCACCATCGCTCTGATATACGAAAAGATGGATAGGAATAACAGACACCAAAACAGTATTAAAATGTATGGAAGTATGATATTATTTAACTATCGAGTCTTTCTTAACTCTATTTAAATGTCTACCTGTTCGGTATCCTTCACGGAGAGTTCTTGAACTCCGGCGTTCGAAACCTTGGAAAGATCCCTCAAAATTCCCTATAGCATCCAATGTTCACTAGTTAGAACTTGAGGCCATTGACAAGTCGTCGAACATTTAGTTTGCTACAACAGGTAATATATCTCGGTGAATCGCAATCGAAAAGCTCATTTGAAATGTTGTGGGAAAAAACAGACGTACTCTATGAACTTAACTATCTACTGCAGATTTCCCTATTGCATTCGAAGTTCACTAATGAGAACTCGAGGCCATTGACAAGTCGTCAAACATTTAGTTTGCTACAACAGCTAATGTATCACTGTGAATCGCAATCGAAAAGCTCATTCGAAAAATTGTGGGAAAAAACAGATATACTCTATGAACTGGTGTGGTGGAACTCAATAGTCAAGAACGAAGTTAAATATCTCGGGCAACCGGTTGCATCCAAGTCTTTCTACTGGCATACAGGAAAAGATTCACAAAGAAAGAAACCATCTCGAGGTTCGGTTCCTATTGGCATTCCTTCCTGACCAATGAAAATCTAAAATCCAAGAATGATCTGCAAAACTAACTTAAAACCATCATCAACCAGCTGAAAGCATCTCCTAAATCAAAACCACGGGCCTAGCACAGGTGTCTTTGATAATGAAATGTTAAACAACATACTTCGCTCCCATCACTTGTCTCCAAATAATTATGCAAGTTTCAGCCCGAGACAACAGTAAAGGACTCGATTTCATGGACGATGTTAAATCACCTAAAGGACTCGATTTCATGGACGATGTTAAATCACCTAAAGGACTCGATTAACAAACCTTATTGGCCCACTTGAGCCCACATGCATTGCACAGAGTCCTAGGGCCAGCAGGCCCACGACGCATCATCGGAGTAGATTTTGAACTGGTTCCACAATGTGTACATCTGTAAACAATAATGAAAGACATTATTAGGAAAACAAATCACTGAATTTGTTCCAGTATGAATGAGAATTGAGAATTTTTCTATTCCTTCTAGAATTTTGGTATTCCAGTTGGATGCAAAACCAACTCGCAACTCAAGCGTATATTATCGTCACAGGAGAAAGTGAACGTGCTGGAGAGTAAGGTGACAAATTGATGAGCCTCAGACTACCAGCAGGGTCCTTCAAAGTTAGAAAATGGGACTTGTGAGGATCGATCAATACTTACGAGGCTTCCAACAAGCCATCATCGTGTCCAGGATCCAACGTTTGAGACAAAAGTGAAGATGAGCCCACTTCATCTGCATTAGCTTTAGAGGATATAAACTGGCCCTTCTTCCGCTGCATTCTGATGAATCCAGACAAGAGTTGTTAGAACATGTCTCGACAACAAAATGATTTTTTCGGTCCTTTGATGATTTGAGCATTTGACTAGAGCTAGTTTAAATTCTTGAATTGTCACATGCTGAGCACTACAAACAATAAGAATGGAATAATGCAATAAAGTAACTTAGTTTATATAACTCTGGATGATGAAGGAGACGAATATATCACGTTGAATTGCATACAACAGAAACAACATTGAATTGATTAAAAGAAATCTTTCGAAGTACACTAAAGATATGCTTTTTGCACTATATCATCACAGTTATAAATTCATCTCTCTTTTTCTGAAAGTTATTAGAAATATATATATATATATATATAAGATTAAAGAAAGTTATTCCTATCAACTTCCATCTTCTTCAGATATGTAATTTCCTTTCTATTAGCAGCTCTTATTTTCTTTATTTCAAGTAAAAAAAACTTAAATATTATGAGCAGCCCATCGTACATCTATAACACCTCTAAGTTACATCAATAAAGCATTTTTCCCAAGTCAGAAATGTAACAACCCAAGCCCATCGCTAACAGATATTGTCCATTTGGCCCATTACGTATTACCGTCAGCCTCACGAAGTCGGTTATCGAGCAGTGTGCCAGCGTTGAACGTTGGGACCCCAAGGAGAGTGGATTGTGACATCCTACATTGGTTGGAGAGGGAAACAAAGCTCTCTTTACAAGAGTGTAGAAATTTTTTCCTAACAGACGCGTTTTAGAACTTTGAGGGGAAGCCAAGAGGGAAAGCCCAAAGAGGACAATATTTGTTAGCGGTGGGCTTGGGTTGTTACAAGAAACTTCCTTCACCATTCCTCATCTGAAGATCTAAAATTGAAACACTACCTGCCTCAAAAACTAATGTTTTAGAAAATCCCATTTGACCACAACCAAGATCAGAGACAATCCACAAAATTATAATATAGCTGTTTCACACTATCCTATCCCTGCTGTTTTCTATTTGTTGATTCTACTTAATATACTGATAGGCCCCAATCACTGAAGTGTATGCTGGTAAACGAGGAAAGGGTGAGACATGTAGGATGATGTCATAGTTTGTGCACAACTCAAGCGTATTAGTTAGTAAGGCTGACAGATAGGGAATATAGAGAGGAGTGAGAGTCTGGCAAAGGATATGTAACAGCCCAAGTCCACCGCTAGCAGATATTGTCCTTTTTGGGCTTTCCCTTTCGGGCTTCCCCTCAAGATTTTTAAAACACGTCTGCTAGGGAGAGGTTTCCACACCCTTATAAAGAATGTTTCGTTCTCCTCCCCAATTGATGTGGGATCTCATAGGATATCTTTTTGGTAATTTTTTACTTAGATCTCTGAGTGAGAGCGGGAGAGGAAGGGAGCGCTCCCTTGACTTAACTTCAACCATCTAATAAATAAATAAACAGGTATCTATTTATAAGTTATACCTGAGTGCAACTTCTTTTCGCACGGTGTAACGAATTTTCTTCTCAAAACACCTTTCTTTTCTCTTCTCCCTAAACCTATTCAATGAAGCAGCTCTTTGTGGTTGAACCGATCTGACAGGAAAGCCATTGGTACCCTGTAAGAATTAGAACAAAAGTTAACTGAGGTAGGAAATCAAGAACACCAGATGGTTTCAATCAATACACCATTAAAATAATAATGTGCACGTATACCTGTTGGTTGACGGGAACGCTTCCAACAGCAGGAATCCCAGAAGGAATTTCATATCCACCTAAAAGCAAAAGCACGGCTTGCACCTGTCAAATTTAACCACGAAAAACTTAAAACCCCTCGTGTTCGTATTCATGTACTCAAACCTCAAAACAACTCCTTCATAATAGTATGGCATGGCATGGCATATACGTATACTTCGCACCAAATCCTTCCTAAATCTATCTTGATCGTATTCATGTACTCGAACCTCAAAACAACTCCTTCATAATAGTATGGCATGGCATGGCATATACGTGTACTTCGCACCAAATCCTTCCTAAATCTATCTTGATCATATTCATGTACTCGAACCTCAAAACAACTCCTTCATATAGTATGGCATGCCATGGCATATATGTACACTTCGCACCAAATCCTTCCTACATCTAATTTGACAACAGTAGTATTCAGTTCAACTGGCACAATCTGTTCATTTATCATCATATTCCTTTCTTCTTTTTCAATCATATTTCAAAAGAAAAAACTTTCCATTCATCATCCAAATGTTCCAACAATACAGCAACACAACACAGTTAGGTCCCTGTAGGAAACTAGAACAGGGTTTTAAAATTATACCCATTCTCTAACAATTCAGAAAATCCTTTAAACCAACAATATTACATTTTACAAAATCCCTCCCCAATTTGAATGAGCTTGAAGTTGAATGCCATAACGAAGCATTGAGTCAAATTGTTCAAAGTTCATCAAATTGTTCGCGAATTAGCCAAACCCAGCTTCAAATACTATATATCTTCAGTAAGTAGAAGAGTAATTACACAAATAGCGCATAATTTACGAAGAGTATGGACACCCAATTGAAAACCAAACCTTGTCCGGCGATACAGAGTCAAAAGCGTAAACCTCCCCGCGGAACGATAGCGTAAGTTGGTCAGCACCACCGTTTCCAGTCAAAGGGTTGTAATCGGAGCCGGAAACATACGACGAAGGAACAATGTCCTGGACTCGGTTCATTCCCCCAGAATCTTCGAAGCGCATCTGAGGATTGTCCATGGACTCTTCCCCGACAGTAATGTCGTCACCTTCATCGCCAACTCGGTTCTGAATGCTATCCAAAACCCGGCCACCGTTGTTCACGACGGCGGAACCGTACATCGCATCTTGGAAATTGGAATCCGGCATTTCTTCAAGAATTACATAGGAAGGCCAAGAACACGCTAATTTAACAAGGAACCAAAAAATTCCAGAAACTTATTGACCAAACACGACGGACGATCGAAAAGGTCAGCAGAAAAATTCTCTAGGAGAAACAGACAATTCAAAGCCCTGGATTTCAAATTCCGAACAGGATAGCTCAACAAAAAGAAAGGGGAATTAATCAACCCCGCCCAGTAACACAAAAGAAACTGGAATTCAAGTAAAAGCAAGCGATTCCAAATCCAAATTCAATCCCGAAAAATGCAACAAAAAATTCAAGTAAAGTAAACCCTAGAAAATCCAAGTAGAAGGGTGAAGAAGAAAGAAGAGTGAAAGTGAAAAGCGTTGGACAAAAAAAATCAGCAGGAAGAGGATAATCGAAGATTGATATGGAAAATTGGGAATCTAAATTTTCATATGGAAAAAGGAGGAAGATAACATGGGCTGGAAAATGACCTTGAATTTGGGGGTTTTTACGGTTGATGCCACTCCACTTCACTTCAAGGTCGCCGGAATGATAGAAAACCGGCGGCGAAACAGCGCCGGCGAGACGACGAAAAGCAGAAATGGGGAAGAAGGTGCTGCAACAAAGGGTTGCTTCATCTTGATCTTACTTGCAGATCCAGTGGTGGTGGAAGCATTCATTTCAACGTATGCCATTTTTTTTTTTTTTTTTTTTTAATATTTCTCTAAATTCAACCATTA